TTTTTTTTTTTTTTCTTTTTACATGAAGTGGTCTTGCCATATTGGAAGCCAATTTTTGGAAACCACAGCTTTTTTGACCGTATTAATTAATTTGTTTGTTTGTTCGTGTATTGCATTTCCATTAATTATCAACAATTGAATTTCTTAAAAATATTTGTAGCTATTTACTTACCTGTGTCATTCAAAAAACATTTAACCTAGAGATCTAGTGATTTATTTTGTCCCTAACAGAAATGTATTTACTTTCTTTTTTTCAATGGATTTGTATTTATATACTGCATGGTGTAGTATAAATAGTAGTTTTTCATTAAAAATGAAAAAGAAACGTGCATACAAAAGAAACTAACAGAATTACAAAGGAACTCCTTTGTAGTGTTCTCAGAATAGAATAAGTCCTATAAGGCAAAGAAAATCATTTGTACAATTCTGTCAGCTGCATATAGGAAACTTTGAAAAGTAACCTTTTCATTTTTTTTGTTTAACTTTTCAAAGCAACAGCAAATGCGAGCCAATATCTCTGGTGCCTCCTTTCCTAATGAGCTGAGAAATCTACTGCAGCATAGACTGGAGGACTTGGAAAATCAACTGCTCAAGAAGGTCAGTGAGCTTGAGGAAGAGAAGTCCCAGCTATATAATGAGACCGTCGCTCATCGCCAGCGCACTGACAGTACTCTCAACTCTCTCATGAACAGGATCTCTGAACTGGAGAAAGGTCTGCACAAAGCACTCTTTTGTTCTCTAGTCATTCTTCTTTCCCAAGTACAGGAGACTAGGCAGTGTTGTAACACATTTGATTTCAATGTTTGTAACTATTTAGCACTATGTGCTTCATGATAGTGTTACAGTTCACCTCTTGGTTTCCTCTACTCTTGATCATAGCTGTCCACATTATTTTTCTTAAAGGGGTCATATGATGCGATTTCAAGTTTTCCTTTCTCTTTGGAGTGTTACACGCTGATTGTGCATAGATAAGATCCCTGAAGTTGCAAAGACTAAAGTCTCAAAACCAAAGAGATATTCTTTATCAA